AAAATCCGAAGTCAACGAAGAAGAATAAAGTTAACATTGACATGTTGCTATTGACATTTAGTTAGGAAAACCTCTTTTCAAGTTTGAAAATCGTTTATGAAATTGGGAAATTTTTGTGACACTTTGTATAATTGTTGACTTAAGATAAGATTCAAGTAAACATTGATATCTTCAATTTTTTTTTTTCATTTCAAATAAAACTGCAGTAGTCACCCTACAAAATGAAAAAAAATACCCCTGACCTAGACTTCATCACCCGAGAACTAAGCTAAATCTAAAATCTGAAACTGCTACCCACAACTACCGATACACGTATCACTCCAAATGATGGATCAACAAATCACGCTGATAACTTTACATCATCAATACCATTATCTACCAGTATTTGCTATCGAAAAAAAGTAGGTCAGCTGAAACAAAATACTGAACGGAAAAAAAGACGCTACTCGAATTCGTCTTCTATACGAATAATTGTACTCACTAATCTCCAACGAGAAATATTTGATGAAACAACTCCATCGTAAGATTCAAATAAAACCTCTAAAAATCTAATCAGCCCCACGTCGTCACAGCCCCTCTCGAGTACCAACCATCAGTCCAATTTATCGGAACAGCTGTCACCTCTCTCTTTGCGACTGCACGCACAGCTCGAGGAATAAAAAGCGTCCCTCCCTTCGTCCGGCGTGTGGTAGGTATACCCACAATAGAGCCGCTCGCTCTCGGTAAGACGTCGATGACGTAGTCGAGCGAGCGGGCGAGGGAGAAAGAGCCTCTTTATCGCCAAGCCGCTAATCGATCCTAACCACGCGCCCGACGCACTTTGCTCTCCGCCCAAGAGCAGTTGACAAGTCGGGCGCGAGAGCTTGGCGGCGCGAGGCACGTACAGTGCTGGACGTGCTTCTTGCGAATCGTTTTTGTATTTTATTTTCCTTACGCCGAGTTCCGATACTCTTCGTAGTTTAAAAATGGAGCTTCGCAACTGACTGGTGGAATCGGTTTGACCATGGCGTCGATTTTTCGTGACTTTCTGCAAGCGTTGCGGCGAAAAAGTGAGTTTCGTGCGGGTGATTGGTTTTGCTTTGATCGATTTTGTCTATAGATGTTGAAACTTTGATGAGCCGGTGTACCAAATATTTTTATAAGTGTTAATCATTCAGTCATTTCCTTCAGCCGTAGAGTCTTAGCGATTCCTCGAATTTCACGATCCCAAATATCATAACATATATAAAGTGACGGCACAACGCAACCAGACAATATAATCGAGTAACCTGATCTACATTACGCCCAAGTCGAAGATTGGGTGGGGATGTTGACATTGTGTTTCTAAACTCGACTTTTCACTTATCAACCACCGCGATCATTGGAAGTATCGACCACAGTTTTGTATCATTAGCGTTAACTGTCGACTCGCAATCAGCATAGCAGAAAACTATGTAAGGTTCCCATTCGTTTAGTTCGGATATCCGTAAGTCAGATTTATTTCATTTATAATTTCTCGTTAAAACAAATTCGATTCAAATAACACTTTACCTTCATTACTGTCCGCGAAATATGTTAGATTCAAAGGGAGTTTATAAGAGTAATACAAGCACTTGCATGAGAGTAAATTTTTGTAAATAATCTGGAAACGCATTGACAATGCTATTAAAATTAAAGGCACCGTCAATCGACAGGTTCAGTGACGTGGACTCCACAGCGCGTTATTTCACATTAACGGCATCGTCCTGCGTGAAATTACGAGTTCATTGACTAGGCACTGCAAGAGCAAGAAAATTTTAGGGTACGAAATAACATTAACAAAGCAAAAGAGGGTCATCGATGCCGGAGGGACGTTTTACGACCGAAAATTGTGAAAGAAAAAGAAGCATGTCGAATGCGAGTCTTTAATGGGGGAGCGCTACAGCCTAGCTCTATCCCCGTCAGTCCTGTGAATTTACGCGCGTGCACACCCACACAACATAAACAGCCCATCGCGGTGGGCAGAGGGAGAGAGTGAGGGGAAGGGAAAAAAAGTTTGTTACGTCAATCATCGAGCCGGCAATAATTCTATCATTGTGCAATTCGCTCGGCGACTCGGCGCGGCCGGACGAAAGGCACTCCTTTCCTTCTTCGCTCATTTTCAGCCTGAGAGACTCTTTCCGTTCTAACTTTTCTCTTTCCTATCTCTTTTTCTTCTCGTCCTCAAGATTATCTCTGGGCACATTTCTATTGCAGCTGCCGTCACGGAGCGTCAATTTTCAGCTACAAGCTGATGCTTTTCTTTTGCTTTTTACAATTTTTTTTTTGTTTATAAAAATTCAAGTTTGAAGTCGAGTTTAATGAAAACATTTGTTTTATATTTTAAATAGATTTTTTTTTTACATCCGTCTCTTACCACGATAATAATCATTAGTTATATTTNNNTAATAATAATAATAATAATTAGTATTATTATTATTATCATTAGTGACATCATGCAAATTGCTTCTTTTAATAGAAAATCACAGTATAATCTTTTGCTTGTTGCTACCTTCACATTTATAAGTCAAGAAAATTGTTTTAAATTATTCACAAACAGATGTTAAAGTAGCATATTGTAAGGACTTTTTTCCAAAAAAAGAAAGAAATTATTTTTGTAATAACAGTTGTAATAATAATAAAGCGATGATGATAATGGCAATAAAAATAACAAAAATAAGTCAATTAAGTTGAACTTTTCTTCAACGATACAACGGTGTAGAGTTCACATGTAGCCCTGATGAAACAAAATAATAAAGTGCATCATCCAATCAAAGTATATTATCGTTAGGAAGCTCAAAAGTATTATTATCAACGAAAATAACATTGTTTTTTCACCCAAAGTTTTTATACGCAGCTTTAAAAATAAACACACGACTCTCACTGGCTTATCGTAAAGTCGATAAGAACTTTGACGTTTCCACGTGTAGGCACACATATCCCCGATTGCCCCGCGGAAAATCGTGACAGCCGCGAGGCAATCACTTCGTACACGTAGTACGCGATTCTCTCGAAAACCTATAGCTCTCGAAGTAATGGTTTCTTCGAGCCATGTTGCGACCACAGGAGAATCGATCACGACTGAGAGAGAGAGAGAGAAACGAAGTAGAGGAAGATTATGAGGAAAGGCGTGTGCCCGCGACGAAATGATTGAGGTATCATGGGTTAAGGCTGTAGATAATTCTCAGGAATATTCTTGTCATTTTCTTCAGCTCGGCAATAAGAAACAAAATTAAAATAATACTGATCGATCGAGGGCAACCAAAAAAAAAAAAGAATATCAAGAGTCAAAGAGGAGCGGCACATGGCAGAATGAATCGTACACCTATTTAATATGTACACACGAATTCGTGCATCCACATACGATGGGTTGTTGCTCTCGTTGAACTTCCGCGAGAGGTTAACCAGATGTGGGTCAGATTCGAAGATATACTCGCTTGGTGTGCCGCACTAGCACGTTCGTGACTATGCCATCCACACACGTTGAAACTTGAAAATAGTCAATTGCAGAGGATTAGAGCCTGTAGTTTTGAAAAGTCGGGGATATGTTATGTTTCGTTACATGTCACATCTTTCACAAAGCTTTTTTTGGTCCTAATCAAAAGGGTTCACCTGGGGCGAACAATTAGCTATAAATTGGAGAGCACCGATAAAGTAGGGTATGAATTTAGAATAATTTTTTACAAAGGGATGTATTTTATTTCTTAGTACCGTACACTAGCCATACTTACTCTCTCAATGCACGACGTGCAAGTTTGTTGGCGTCTCGTTGTATCATTCGCCTAATACATTATGTTTTGCGACTAATACAAGATGACAGATCATTTGCGTTGCCGCGTGTGGTATCGGTAGCACTTAAAGTTACTAAATTATCGTAGTTGTTATCCCTGTTAGAAGTAATAGTTAAATTTTACCTAGACAAATACAGTCATTAAAGTAATATGACAAAAGTGAGTACAGTGAGTAGTTTCAAGTGAAATCGAGAACATTATGGGTCACATACTTTATTTTTCTTACTGTAGACGTATGTTTCATTCTCTCCTTCGTATTTTTTTAAATAAGCAGAACTGTGAAAATAAAAGTTTCTTATAATCACATATCTTTTTCACATTTTTTAACTTGAAGACTAAACAAAATTTTCTACCAATAAGTATCGAAAGCACCGAGTCTTCAACGCACAATATTTCCATCATGGACACTTTGTTCAATTTTCCTCATTCTCTTCAACAGCTTGCACGATACGAGTAAGAGCTGGATTACATCATGTGTGGGTTAAAATTTTTGAAAAAACCATAAGATAGAAGAAACGAAATTAAGATCCACACTAACGATAACACTGTCAAAATTGCAACTGTTAAGAGACCTAAATCTTGCAATAAATGAAACGAAACTTAAATTCTTCTTATTGCTCGGGAAATAATGATATTGACGTATTCATTTAATTAGGATATGCTTTCTTCGTTTATCATTTGTGCACAATTTTTGTCAAACTTTCTAACTATCATTTCTTCTACATTGGAACTTGGAAATTCTATCTATCTTGGAAGATGAAAACTAAAAAAAGTTTAGTTTTGATTTAATAGTGTTTTGAAAATTTTAACTCATGTACCCATTCAACAAACATTAAATTATCTTAATTTTAGTCTCAATCTCAAAAAAAGTAAAGTCCATACTAAAGTTTTTGTCCAGTTTTTACGATTCTGCATTACCTTAAGAGATAAATCTATTGTTCTCCTGATGATATAAAATTACATGATTTTCATAAAAATTGACTAATTCCATTAAACTCTTAGACTTTCTTATCAAGATACCTTCTCTTAAGATCGTGTATTTTAGTTATTACATTCGGTAAAACAACTCCAATTAACCATTTAAATATTATTTTTTTGAAAAAGCTAAAACATTTATTTTGATCAATGTTGCAACTATCCATCAATTGTTGGAAGTTAATCCATTCAAAAGTCAAAATTATTTATTCCACGAACGAAATCTCTGTATTGCAGAAGGTGGCACGAAGCGACGCAAGATGGCTTCAGGAGGGGGCGGTACCCGTGACGTCCCGGATGTTCACGACGTCGATCTGATCGACCTGGAAAGTGGAGTGACCTGCAGCAGCAGTAACATTGCCAGCCGAACCCCCTCGTCAGATGCTACACCCGAGGAGCAAGAGCACTTGCTCGACGTGTGCCCACCCAAACTCGAACAGAAGCTCTCGTTGACGAGACGAAGCCACGACTTTCACCTCAGCAGTGCTGATGAGTCCAACGACGGCGTTCCCACAGGCAGCGTCCTTGTCACACTGGGCCACGACCAGGTGGTCCCCGTGAGGAAGAGAATCGACGTTGTCTCCTCGGACACGATTAGACGGGTGCGCGACATCACCAAAAATCTAGAACCTGTGATCAGGCCACATATGCTGGAAGAGGAGGACCACACCGCTGAACCTAAGCCAACGATCGGCCCCTGCGAGGAAGACGCCTCGTACGAGGCGCGCGAGATCAGCGATGCATTCAATTTCCTATCGGAGCTCGAGGACAACGACGAAGATGAAGAAGAGGAGAAAGTACCTTGCAGGCCACACGGTGGCTACCCCTTGGAGCCGACCTGCCTGATCAAGAACCCGAAGGACCAGTGGCGCGAGGCAGCCACGCTCGCCAGCCAGGACTTTGTGTTCGACAACCAGGGGTTCGAGTCCTCGCCACCGGGGGCCGACTCAGCTGCGAAAAAGCAGTCCTCGCTGAGCTTTGACTTTGACGGTTTGAGAGTGGCGAGGAACTCGTTCAAGAGACTGAGGTCGTCGTTCACGTGCTCGGTCGCCTCGGTTGGATTGGACACGGAGCCCTGGAGGAAGAGGTCCAAGAACTGCAACTATCGGAAGTCCTGGAGCGAGGGTTCGGTCTCGCGACGGAGGAACAAGGCTGATGAAGAGGCCATTGCCAGGAGGTTACGGACTAGCAGTGCCAGCTTCGACGAGAAGAAACTGGAGGGAAAAGAGAAGCTCACTGGCAGAGGAAAGTCTTCGTCGTCCATTAGGTGAGTTGGAAATCTTTCATGTTGCTGTTAAGTTCTTAAGTAGCAAGTTGGCTTTGTATGATCTACTTGCAATGAAGGGTTATGCTAAGAGTTTTCATCGAACATTACAGTATGCTGTGATAAACGCATTTTTTTGTCGAGACAATGATCCTGTAAGAAAATACTTGTAAGATTACAATTACAGTATTATGTTTCTCCCAAATCCTTTTATTTGACAACTATGTCAAAGGGCTCTGCTTTTATTTTTTACATTGTCACGCGAATAATGGAACGTTTCTGGCTTGTGACTCCTGTACTCTTTGTATCTGTAAAACTTTTTTTTTGACTTTGATTGAAATTCAAATATATTTGGTTGTTTTGATCTTGGAATTTATAAAATAGCTTTCTATAGTATATTAAAGTTGACAAGTTAACCTTTACTGATTATTTTTGACTAGTCTCATGGATCTGCAAACAGAAGCTACTCCCATAACTCATAATATATTAATTTTTTAAATACGTGTAAGTTGTACTGTACGTGCAATTATTTTGTTACCAATATAGTTTAGCAACCTTAAATGTGGTTTCGTAACTTTTACAAGTTGTTAAGACGGAACAAACTCGATTGTGTTTAAGGCATCTTACTTTCGTTTCAAAAGTAAACGTATACATCAATTTTTTTTCATTTCCCTTCAATTTTTTAAACATAAACCAAGTAACCTATTGGCCTCTAATTTTTTTATTATCTAACTGAACTTAAGATCTTGCACAGTTTAATATACTTTCAATTTCTTCATCATTTGTCAGACAAATGTAGAAATCCTTTTTTCCGCCCTCGGGTGGTTTTGTGAGGCTGGTACTTCCTCGGGCAAAAAAGCAGTTTTCCGATACTCGTTCGAAAAGTCTCCTTTACGAACCTCGTTACGGACCTCGCCTTCGGCTCAGGCCGCAAACCTCTCGGTTCGCAAACAAAGACTTTTCAAACTCGTAGGAAAACTACTATTTCTTACCATGGCCCAAAGTGCAACTGCCGCTTTGCGCGATCGGGTCACACTTTGCGCCCTTGTAATCACTTTGGGCCCACGGGCAGAAAAGTTTTTTGCACCCTCCGGGCCCAAAGTGATTTACTGGGCGCAAAGTATGCCCACGGGCGCAAAATTGCACTTTGCGCCCTCGGTAAGAAAAACATTACGCGACTCGGGCACCAACATACAACAATCGCGATCTTCGGGCGCTCATATTTGTACTTTGTGCCCTAGTGACGTAATGTAACAGTTTCTCGTCTTTCCACATCTAATTTCGTGTCTTTATTTAGGCCGAAAATGAAAAATATTCTGGTAAGCCATTTTTATGAACCAAACCAAGCCGAAAGCAAAATCTATCACCACCGGTACCTTCCAGATTTCAATAGCATTCATCCATCATTTTTATAAAATTTTGATACAGTTTTAAGTTATTATCTTCTCATTACTATAGAATTCAGCCACAATTCAAACCTACCAACCACCGACGAACAAGAAACCATTACAATATCTGCTTTCTCGTCCAACCTATTCGGTAACTCGAGTTAGCCTCCGAGTGCACTTACCATCCTTTTTTTTTTACCTCAACTCGTTCGTTTTCTGAATAACGAGGTACCCATATTCCACTCACATTCCCTTATTATGTACGACCAAACAATACCGACGCTAAACAAACGAGGAAGAGGAGAAAAAAAAGATAGGTACTAGCAAAGGGGGTTCACAGTCCAGTAAGCACCTCCTCGCTTTTTTCCCCCTGACTCTCATCTCCACCTCTTACATGTATCGCTAGAACGGAGACGGCACGTGCATCAATTACGAAATACCCTCACCGAGTCCAAAAAAACCGTACTTACGACCAACTGACCGGAAATGCGCGCGTGCACGTACATAAATATACAAACATACGAACAAGGCACCCCTCCCTCGTCTACGCTGTTTATGCGCCTGCACGTGCGTAAGCGTAAAAGAAAAAAAAAAAAAAAAAACATCAATGCGTGATCACAGAATCGTGGCCTAATATACCTTCGAGTTTTTAGAAGTTCGAGCATGTAGGATCTAAAGTGCGCGTGGCTCTGAAGATCTAAAGATTTCCTGCATCAGTATAAGGATATGGCCACGTTGCGGACGCATCCGCCAGGAGGCTGTACTTTTTGCAACATAGTCGATTACACTAGCCCGCAGCTTCGGTAGCATATACGGCTATCTATATTTAAGGGAGTTCACTCAGTTCATTCGTACCTAACCTTTTTGACGCATAAGATATTGTAACCTGCATGACTATGTATACATATATAACGCGACATACTAACGGTGGCTGTTGAAGGATAATTGTTTTATTCACTAATTTATTTCTCATTCCATAAGCCATGAATGAAGATGAGACTATAGCTATGTAATCACCAAGTTTTTAGCTATTTTCGAAAAAAAATTTCCAATCAAATCTTGACGTACGTCGATTATCCAGATATTGCAGGTAGTAGTGATCAGAATAGTACTGATTCTCACAAGACTGCACGTTAAAAGTTCAATAATAAAATTATCAATATCTCATTTATAAGCCATAAAGGGACTTTAAATTTGAATCGAAGGTTTTTCATACACTAATTTATCTCTGTTCAAAGTATTATCAATATTTTGACGTTAATTCTCTTAGCGAGTGAACTCTCTTAAGGGCACTTTCTTCAACGTGAACTGACGTTCAAAGGCAGAGGATATCACTTCCTCTATTGCGAAGCTGTGTCATTATGCTTTAAAATAGATGTGTACCAAAGGCTCGCGTGGCATTGTTTCCGCGACACGCGTTTACGCGTTTGCACGTGACGACAATGGCATTGCGTGTACACGTACCCGCTATTGAGCAAACGACACATGCGTTTACCGTCCCGGAACACAATATATTATATACGTTCAGAGCTAACACCATTTACATTTGTATTGTGTCATAAATATGAACGTCAAGTGATTGTTATTATCTCGTACTCAATGTCTTGTGAGTTGTGATTTGAAGTATCAATATACTGTTTGAGCACGTGTAAATATGTACGTGCAAGAATATCAAAATCGTATCTCCGGTTCTATATTGACACATTTTTATCATTTCATTAATGATATATCGTATACCTTGTTAACTTAATCCGGCTCGCATTTTTAAAAACAATTAAAAAACTGAAATACTAGACTCCAATAAATTTTGTGACTAGAACATAGTAAAATTACAAACATAATCTTTGATTTACAGAAGTAAATTAAATTAGATTATATAAATACATTTATAATGTCGGAATAGATTACAGATGTGTACTTATACAATCTTTAGAAAACGTTTGTCGGCTCAAAAACATTTACCTACAATATTGTCAATAGTAATATGGAGAACAATCAAAGTACAGGTATTTTATAAACTTATACAGTATTTGTAAACACAAATGAGCATGCGTCTTTACTTTTTATTAATTGTGCGTTTATATAGAGTCAGTATAGATTTTTTATTGTATTATTCTTTTTTTTATTTTTTAATCTTTGAAGCTATCTTTTTGATTTGTCTACTTTTATTTTTAAACTGACAATGAAGACATTCTTATAAGTTCAGGGACTATTATATTCCACCATCTAATTTATCGTGACTCAGGACTTTGAGTTGTATTTAACTAGTTGTACTTGAGTTATCTTATGTATTGTTGGTAAAACTTTTGCAACAAAAAAAAGATAAAGATCACGCTCTATTTGGATCTCCATCGCGGGCTGAGCGGAATCTAGAAATCGATTTTTATGTACTTATACATCATTCCTTTATTATCAATTTTTTTATTTAGTTTTTTTCATTTATTAATTTCAAATGTTTTTCACGAGTATAACTTTTCACCTTTGTTAAAATTGTGTACAATTTAAAATTCGTCATGAAGTGTAAGTATGGCTATACTCTTAGACGGGTTTGAATGGCACACATTGGATGGGTAATAGAAGATTTGCTAAATATCAAGCATTATTTATTAAGTGAACATTAGATTTACTAAAAAAAGTTTTTTGATAGAATTTTGTTATCAATAAGAATGCAATGGAATGATTCTGTACGATACGAAGATTTTAAAACCTGAAAAAAAAAAATCCTAAGATTATGGTAGGTTACTGTAATTTCTCGGCATACCCTTCGGTGGCTGTCTTACCTTGTACTCGTCTGACTCTACTTAATTTTATAGATGATAAACTCTTACATAATAAGTCAAACGTATTACAGTACAGGCGAGTTATCGGATTTGACCCCATATTTTCAAAAAAACCTTTTATCTCCTTTTTTTACCGGATAATTATAAGAAAAATAGCAGAAATAGCGGAGTACATTTTTGAAAAGCAAATTTTCACGGAACATATGTGAAAACACGTTAAAAAGGTCAGTAAAACAAGTTTTTTTTACAAATAAACTAACTTGCCTGCATTATTATGGACTGTTCAGTTTAACAGTAAAAGAATAAATTAATAGTGGAAAAAAATGTGCAAAAATTTTAAAGCTCACTTTTTCTTACGTATTAAAAAAATGTTTTATTACATCCATGATAGAGAAAAGCAGGGGTCTCCACTGGTGTCATGAGCTGATAGTTCACAGAGACTTTTGCTTTTATCAATCATACAAATGATGTATAGTAGTTTTTGTATACCTGGTGGTGAGTGTCGCCAGGGCAAGCACCTGGCCTGAGGAACCTACAAAGCAGGACCCAAGGGACTCCTTGTGCTTATCCTGGTTTGATTCGCGCAAGGTGCGAACTCTATTTTTTGTACTGAGGGTGCAGTAAACGTCCAAAGGTTAAAAAAAAACACGAAGAAGTAGGAAAAAATTATTTTTTACTTTCCAATACATAAATAACAGCGTATTAAAAAAAATTTTTTTTTTATTTCTCAGTTGTTGTTTTGAATTAGACTTCTCCTTAATTGATAGAATAATACATTGTCTCTAGCTGTCACTAGTCGCCGAGATAGGACTTAAGACTCGAAAAAATGTCGACGTTTTCAACCACACATTTTTTTTTTTTTTTTTTTTTTTTTCGACAACACTTGTATTCCCGAGCTCATTTCTCATCCACCCATGATAAATATAGTTCAGAACACAAATTATACTTGCAAACGAACACTAACTAGAATACAATATTGATAAGCTGATTAGAATAACATAGGATGATATTGTGTTTCGATGATTATTCCAAGTCCTTGGAAAAATTCAAACTCGCCCTATATCCAAGGACCCCTGAATCCTTCAATCCAACTGCCCGAAAAGCAGCAACCAATAACGATCTCCTCGAAATTCCAGGGCATCGTCCTCGGGATCGGTAACCAGCGGCGGCACGAGTCCCTCATCCTCGTCCCCCCCGTCTTCATCGTCATCCTCGTGCTCCGAAGTCGACTGGTCATGGGTGGAGGAGGTCGAGCCCACCGTCGACCAGCAACAACAACAGCCACCGATCGACGACTCGCCGAGCCCAATGCCCTGCAAGCGGCGGCGACGGCGCCTCGACCCCCCCACCCGCGCCGCCGGTGAAGGAGCCGCGATGACAGCAGCAGGGGCCGCGCTAACCGAGACGGGCGGACGCATGCGCGGCCCCGAGACTGCCGGCAGGGAGAGCCGCGCCAGTGTCGCGATGTCCGTCGCCGCGGCGGGAAAGTCGGACGCGCCTGTCGCCGACGTGGTGCACGCGCTTGATATTCATGTTGTACAGCAGCACCAGCAACACTTGGACGCATTGACGACGACTGGCAACGCTGAGGCTGCTCTACTGAGGAGTGCCTCCAACTCGGAGGGAGGACCCCAGCATAATGGGACCCTCGCTGATGTCGCCAGGGTGTCTGCACCTGCTCTCAACGAGGGGTACGTTCCTTGTGTGTTTTTTTTGTTGCTGATCATTTCACTGTGCTTTGTTTGTTTTTATGATTCTTCATTAACTATTTTTTTTTTTTTTGTACTTTTCCTTTGTGGACTTGTTATGCACAGCGATTCTCGTTCAGGCGATGGTGTACTTTTGGGTGTGATGGTGTGTTCCTTTCACTAAAACCATGGAACAAGCTGCTATAATCATAGGTGCATATGTTGAACGATAACTGCAGGTAGTGTGATAGAAAGAAAAAGCGACCCAAGTATCTACCCTCGAATCACGCGTATTTCCCTAGTGTTTTCTACTGCCGTGTCTTGCCATAATCGACCGTTTCTACTTTTGACACGCATCAGACATACGCGCGACACATAAACATTTACACGCCGATAATTGACGATTTCATCTTGAATTCGCTTTCCATACTTGAATATAGCAAGTGCAGGTCTAGATTCGAAAATAATGCTTGTTTTTTGCAAAGCTTCGACTCTTCCTTTCCGCGTTATCGCTGTTTCTTTGTCCTGACGGATGTTTCGTGCGCTATGCTCGGTGACTTGTAAGTACCGGTCGAACATCACAGCTCAACATTTGTATCATCCTTTCATTCATCCTTTGGACAATAGGCGCGGCTTCGAACAATGGCTGGGATTAGCATTCTGGTCGGATGAGGCTTGATGATGCGTAGCTCAAATTTATACCTCCACCATAAAGATTGTTCCCGTTGTAGAGGTGATCATGAACACCTTTTATGCTGTAATATTTTCATTCTTCGTTAGACTTTTGCTTGGAACAATTAACCCGTATTGCGGTTAAACCAGACTTGTATTTGTTTATTTATTTGTTGTTGTTGTTTTTTTTTTTACTATTCTTTCTAGAAAACAGTTTTGTTATCTGTGTGAGAAAACTTTTTCGAAGGGTTAGCAGGATTGGATAATCCGTTTTTTTTTTTTTTTTGAGGTCACGTTGACAGAAAACTTTTTTTTTAATTATACATTAAAAATTGATTTATACATCTTCATACAGCTTTCATGACTTGTTTGCGGTGATAAGTGTACAAATAATTTACTGTTTTTATACTTAAAATGAGGTTTTTTAAAAAGATTCTGAAAATCTTTATTTTAAGTTTAAAAAACTTCTTATTTTTATTCATGATCAATTAAAATTCATGCGAAATGCTGATATCGAAATTTGGCCAAGTTTTCGGTGCAAACATTGAATAGTTATTGAATAATTATATAAATAAATAGTCCATAAGTTTTTTGTATTACGTAAACGACAGCTGACCTTATTTCAACTTTTTAAGGCGTAAATAAACTAGAAATTCAACAAAAAATACATAAGAAGAAGTGAAACTGAGCCGGTTCGCAAACTATAAAATTATTTACCAATAAACTTATCCTAATCCAAAAATCAATTACTTTAAAAAAATGTAAATTATTTTCAAAATTAATATCCATACAATGATGTAGTCTTACACATCGTAAAAAATATTTAAGTTTATATTTGGACAGCTGAAATTCTACAGCTGACGTTAATTAATATTAATATTTTTTTTTGTAAATCGCAAAGTGTATAATCTTTTTTTATAAAATTAAAAATATACGTTTGTATCAATCTGTGCTTTAAAATTTATTCGTTAATAACTTAATCAGTGAATTTATGTTATGTATTCTACAAAAAATGATTGACAGTAGTTTTGCTTTTGAATGACACATCTTTCAATCTCACGTGTAGGGCTTATGTATTTCTAATGTTTATCTCAATTAAACAATTGACAAAAGTTATTGCATTGAACCATCTGAAAAAAAAACTTTTTGTATGTATCAACGATTTCGTCTGAATTTTTTTTTATTGACATAATTTTGACGCTTTATCTGAAAGTAATAACATGCTTAAATCATTTTCAATATATTTTTGACAGTAATTGCCACACTTTTATATCATGCCTCTTTTGTATTTCGAGTATAGGTTATTACAGCTCTATAAATAAAATAAATCATACTTAGTAAAAAAAAAATGCACTGACAAAAATCGGCAACTTAAGCACGAACTCATAAATGCAATGGAATAATGTAAAACAGCATTTAAACAAAAATTAAGTAAAAAACCGGTGCAAGTACGTGCTGTCAATATAAGCAAAATCATGGTAGTACTTTTATGAGGCAATCAAATAACTTAACGTGATTGAATTATCTACTGCTGTTAAACCCACCAGTTTTTCTCCATAATAACTATACAATGATACTTTTGTCCTAATATTTAAAGGGTTGTCACAGTAATAGTAGATCATCTAAAAAGTCAATCTTAGTAAAAAATATTCCACTTATGTGATTAGTCTCAAAAAATTGTGTGAACTGTTTTCTATGATAGTAAAGCATATTACAAATTAGCAAAAGTACCAAAAAACAACGATCCAGAATTAAATTGGTGCGATATCTTATTTTTGACCTTTTGAATCGCAATAGTTTAAAAAAACGGCGACGCTAGACTCTCCCAATTTTCAATATCACATGCTAATTGTGATTAGGAATGATATTTTGTTTTTTTTTAATCTTCCTAATTAATTTTAAACGATAGTATCACAAAAACCCGCGTAGAAGCCACCAACTTTGCGATATCATTTCTCCGAAACTGTACCGTTAGTTCCTCTGAAATTCAAATTACCCACGTAAGTTCAGTGGCGACTCTGTACATTACTAAATTGTAACGGCGCGGCGCCTAGATTTCAAGGTCGCTGAACGTAAAATGATCTTTTCCTCTGTAAGCTCATTGCATCATTTATCATTTGTACAGTGGAGGCCGTTTAATTCGTTGAGCGGCAAGTATAAAATTGACCAATGAAAGAGCTTATGTGATCGAATTAGCCAATGGGAATTAAATGTTTGAATTTCCCACTCAACGAATTAAGCGGCCTCCACTGTACCTCTGATACGCCCAAGACACGTAAAAAATACTCGAAAGGACTGCTTTTGCTGGAAATGGCACCAGCGACGTAGTAGTACTGAGTACCTAATCGTAAAATCCAAGATCATCGAATAAATAACTAGAAAAATTGTCTTTCTGAAGCCCAAAAAATGTTCAAACTCTTTCGATTTACGAATTTATATAACAAAAAATAAAAAATCTTGTAAACTGAAAGTTGCATGTTCCGTCCACACCCGAGAAAGGTATTTTTCTCATTTCTGCTTAATTCTTGAAAAAGAAAATGATCGACTTTTCATTTCTATCTTGAAAATGTTTTTTATCTATATCGACATAGTGGGCTGAAAGCGTTTCGTTAAAAACGCCTGCACGGTACCCCCATCTAAAAATTTCAAGGAGAAAATTGCTTGCGAACCATCGAGTTACTTACGAGGGGCTCCGCACTCTTGAAATAATTAAAAAAGATTTCACAAGTCATTTTAAGTCTTTCAAAGACGTCAGAAGTCTCCAAAAGACTTAAGACTTTTTACCGGGACTTCAAGGTTGTATGTATCTTAAAGTTATTAAAACATACTTCATAAGTTATTCCAAGTCTTTCAAAGACTTCATAAGTCGTTCCAAGTCTTTCAAAGACTTCAGACTATTTACGGAGATTTCAAGGTTGTATGTATCTTAAAGTCATTAAAAAATACTTCATAAGTCATTCCAAGTCTTTCAAAGACTTCATAAGTCATTCCAAGTCTTTCAACGACTTCATAAGTCATTCCAAGTCTTTCAAAGACTTCAGACTTTATACGGGGACTTCAAGGTTATATGTATCTTAAAGTCATGAAAACATACTTCATAAATCATTCCAAGTCTTTCAAAGACTTCATAAGTCATTCCAAGTCTTTCAAAGACTTCAGACTTTTTACCGGGACTTCAAAAGTGCATGTAGCTGGAAGTCATTAAAAAATACTTCATAAGTCATTCCAAGTCTTTCAAAGACTTCATAAGTCATTCCAAGTCTTTCAAAGACTTCAGACTTTTTACCGGGACTTCAAAAGTGCATGTAGCTGGAAGTCATTAAAAAATACTTCATAAGTCATTCTAAATCTTTCAGAGATTTCAAAAGTCTCCAAAAGACGACGAAGTGCACAGCCCTTTGTTCATTTATCGAACATCCAATAACTAAAAAATCTAAATCCTTGTTGTAGGAGTACCAGCGGCACTCTGCCATGGTTGCGGGCCTCGATGTGCCGCCTGCGCCAGTTGCGACTGCCCGACGGCTCCTCGGCAAGCGTCTCGGCGCCCAACTCCCTGCCGGACATCGCCCTCATCGCCCCGGAAATCCTGGCCGCGCAGACAAACGACACTACCGGTGGTCTCCTCAGGCCGTCGAGCGCGCCCGCGCCCACCCGGGGACGATCAGCGGCAAGTCCGGACTCGAGTGCCGTAAGTCCTCGGCGTGGGCGCAGGAGCGTCGCGTCGGGGTGTAGACAACAGCCGGCCCGAGCCGCCACGGGTGCTAGGATGACCGGCAACTTGGCCACGGACTCGGCGACAACGACTTGCGATAGCAGCTCCGGCACCACCATCACCGTCTCGAGCGGCGCCTCCAGTCCAACTGGTAGTCCTCTGCGTCAGACCGGCGCCACCAACTCCTCCGCGTCCTCGCCCAGAAGGTACGTGCCCAAAGTTTATCATTGCGTGATTTTTCAAGCGTATATTAACGGGGTTGCGTAATGTGTTTTTTCGAAAGTAAGACCCAATAGTCGTGACTTTTTTCGTTATTCCCTTCGTGCATGATATCGTTAACGCACTGTTATAGTTAGTAGAACGGAATTTGAATTAGGAACTGAAACTACATTGTGAAAACAATGCGGTACAGAAGTATACTTACATACCAATAGCTTTCATAATTGACAGGCTCACAACTTCGTTAATTATTTTGATTGAAGTTATACCATATAATACCGTAATAGCGTAGTTATATAATACTCGTTAATTGACCATTTTGGGATGTTAAAAATGTTTTACTGGAAAAAAAAATTTAGTTTACATAAAGAGTTTGGTGACTTTAACTCCGTATAGATTTACGAAAAGTATGACAGGTCATATAAAAATAACATTTAAAAACGGCATGGCTAGATACGAAATTAAAATATGTTATTCGTTATGCATACATTAAAAAGTTTGTTTAACGATTCTTTAAATACCAATTATAACACTTATTTTTCATGCCATTCCCATATACTTTACGTGATAAAATGTGTAACTTTGGATTCTTATATTTTTACAACGACACGGGCAGTGTACGTAAATTTTTAACCAATGATGCGTAACAGTGTCAGAAAGATCCTCCAAATTTGGGACACTTCTGTAGAAGTTATAAACTAAATTTGAGCCAAATTAACTAAAAGTTACTTGAATTAGTCTAAGAAATTTTTTTACTCAAAAAGGGTCTCATTTTTGTATAGTTACATTTTCTTCTCTAGTAAAAATATAAGGGATTCACACAAAGCAGTCGTGTCTAAAAATGATTAACAAAAATTTCATCAAGTTACTTTAGGAGTCAGGAATGAATCTTAAGTCTTTGCGATACTCAAGTAAGTTATTTTCTAAATAAAAAAAGTTGTACAATTCCTACCAAACTTTATACATACATGTATGTATATTATAATAGGGACTCCATTAAATTTTTGTAGTCTCAGGCTAGGTATTAAGATTCATGGTATCGATAAATTTAACATATTCTTTTATGAAGTCATATCCTTCTACGTACGAAAAACAATTAACTTGATGCTCAATGCTGTTCAAAAACTTTATGTATTTAGTAAGTCGACTTACAAAATAAACAGTATTACCTGTCAAGTTAATGATTTTTTTTTTTTTTTTTTTTTTGTTCAATTCACGGCTTTTTGTAGCATCATCCCTTTTATCCTTCTACAAATCTTACCAAAAGGAATGGTAATAAGCTTTTAAGGACGTTACTTGTGTCTAGAAAAAAATATTCAAGAATTCCGAATTACAAATAGAAATGCTAACCCATAGGAATGTCACTCCCAAATGGAAACGGAGGAAGCGTGGTAGGATGTCACCGAGACGCCTTATTCTTAATCTTATCACTCGCCTATTTTATAGTTTCGTAGAATTCGGGTACCCCAACTGTTTATTTGGGCCATAGAAGTGCATAGAATATTCTAAAAGCCCCCCTTCCGCCTTAACTATATCCCCATTCAAATAAGATGCTTACAACCGAAAAGATGTGCCTGATGATATTTGTTCACGTGGAGGTTCCTGCTTGCAAGTGTATATCTCATGAATTTTTAGATCTTATTTGTACCTTGTGCTGACTTTTCATCGACAAGGGTATAACACTTTTTGAATACAAGTTTTAAGCAACGCGTTAAAGTAAACTTATTTGAAAAACAGTTTGCTAACCAAAATTACACTGATAAAAATGATTAAATAACAAACATTTATATATCATGAAGCAATAAAAACTATGGTATTCTTATGTTTTCTAAAGATTTTTTATGAAAAATATAGGTTATCTAAAAACTATTGTTTTCCACTTATTGTACTGTAAATTAAAGTGTACTTCAAAAGAAAATTTTCAAATATTTTATTTTCGTCACAGATTTTTAATATTTTCATCCGTTCGGACTTGAATAGTTGTGTTTTGTTTTGATTATAATGGTAAATGACCAAGATTCCCACACACATGATAACTTATCATTTTCAACTACACACTGTTGATCAGACTAGAACTGCAACAGCAATGAGACAATAGTACCTCCAAAAGAAATGAAAATATTGCTAAAACTGAAAAAACATAAGATATGGGTGTCATTGATGATAAGTATAGAATATAATAAAGGCTACACATCCTATGACATATATGGATAGTAAGACAGATGTGTTTATGTTATAATAAATTCTCACACACATCAGCTTACCTCCGTCTCTTATTCAACTCTTTCTATGATATCAAAATACTGCAATGGCGTGTTTTCATGCGCACTTTTGTTTCGATTTTTTCGCCGTGGGCATCTGCTTCTTCTTTCCTGCAGTCATCCTTGACGTTATCTCTTTTGTTTTGCAAAAACCTTCTTCCGCCAGTATAATGTTTGTTTGAGTTGAAAGCCAATAGGATCACAGTCAAATCTGTAAAAATGCAAATGTTTTTCATTAAAAGTAAAAAATAATACCTTCAATTTTTCCGACGGCGATATACAGTTTGTCTTTTTGTTGTCATCCTGTTTGTACACACGATTGGAGTAAACACTAATTCAATATTACCTTGAGAACGCGTTGATCATCGAGCAGCAATTATTTTTCCGCGCCGAAGTTTATTCCCGCGTATAAGACCATGCTTCTCCCCCTCCGAAAAACCAATCGCGCGTCACAAATTTCTTTCCGTGCTTTTGCCACACCAACCTTCGTATATATACGAAGGAAAGAGCTGGGTACCCGGACTTTCGTCCTTTTCTGTGCACTTCTTTTTGTTGCCACATCCAGCGGAAGCCGGCCGACCGTGGCGCCCAGGTATAATCACCCTGTCCGGTATTACACGGTCGATTCATCGAGCTCTCCGGCTCGTCCTTGCGCCGAGCTCTCTTGTTTGCTGCCGCGTTCTTCCTTTCCTCCTCTACAGACCACTGCGATCAACCGCCTTGGACGTATTCCCTTGTGTATATTTTTCCATTTTTCGAGGTAAAGGATCGTCGAGTCACTACGCCAAACACCAGAAGGATCGAAGGGCTAATCGTTATTGAATTAACGCCACAAAGAAGTGGTAAGTATAATCGTACGTAGCCTCGTTCGTCAATTTTTACGTACCGTTCTCCTTTCCAACTTCAGACAGTTTTCCTATTGGGCGAAACTTGCGGGTCATCAAGAAACCCAAACATCATCCACGTCCGATGCAGTGTACATTCTTTATAAACGCGTAATAATTTGTGATATGGCGTACACTTGCGTCCACACATATATACAGCGCTTTCATTCCCCCTGCTGTACTGTGCTTTCGAGAAGTTTTGCCGTCGACGCCGAAGCGTTGCATACGTCTTGTTTATTTACAAAGCAACTTGTATACTAACACAAAAAACTAAAGGTGTTACCCACACATTACCCTTGAGAATAAATTTTTGATGAAAATTGCGGAGCGTTTTCTTATAATTTTATAAGTTCGGATCCACTTTAGTTTCTTAAATCGAAGTGACGCTGGTGTGAAATCATAAAAGACGGAATTAGTTAAAAAAAACTTACGTTTTTACCGATTTTACATTGAAAAACTTTCACAGTGACATCGCGTAAATGTCGACGGCTTTGACGAAAAAAAATTTACGGGAAATCTCAGCCAAAACTTTCGGCGAAAAATATCAACGTGGTATGCGTTCTGAAAAATGCTATGAACTCTTTGCGACCAAGACTAGCAATACTTAGGTAGTACTCTCCCGATGAAAACACTCAACTGGACTCTAACGAGAAATATGAATCCTAGCGATAGCTAGCCGATGAAGACTAATTTCAATTCAATGATGAATAATTGAAGCAGTAAATTTTTTATCCTTTGAAATATTGCAAGGACTTGGTTGGTACTAAAGCTTCTTGTTAGAAAACCACAACTATTGTTAGTCTTATAATCTTATCTTAAGAAAGGAGAATAATTTTGAATTAAGTCTATTGTTTGTTACATGATTGGCTCAAGCTGAGATCACGTGGTTTTGATTTAAATTACATTTGTTGGTTGTAACAATAAACAATTTGTAAATCATTACTACAATTATTCTATGTTTTTACAAAATATTATTAAAATTACAATGTCATTGAACTATTTTTTGTTTAGACAGACAGTACAGTATAAAATATATAAATGATGGTAGTAACACACTATATTATGTACAGGTTATGTACGTTACACCGTATTTTTTTTAAATAAGATAAAATTAGACGTACTACTACTACGAAGTGGAAAAAATGTAATGATCAAATAGTCAATACTATTTGTGGATTAGAGCACACTGAGAGAAAATAAGTGAAAATTACTGTGCTAGAATAGTAACCTAGTGTCACTCCGCCATTTAGAGACTTTTTACTGTTTGTACAATATAAATTACTGTCCAGAATTGTAAAAATTAAGTTGGCCAAAGTATAAAGTCCCTAGACGGCGGAGTGGCACTAGATTACTATTCTAGCACAGTAATTTTTATGATTTTTATACTACTCACCAAAATAAGTATCATTCAAGCTAAAAATAGCTTCAATGAGGTTCTAGCGTTGGTTAAAGTAGTTGTTTCCCAATATATTGGTCAATCGTATATGTACATATACAACACTAAGGTTATGTTCATATATTATCATCCCGTATTTAAAATATCAGAGAGGAATGTTAATGCCTTTGCGTCCACTTATACGTACATAAACATAAACATCTATCTACTTGTACTCATGTGACAATGTGACGTTGCCCCATACGCGATACTTGGTTATCTTCCAAAATCAAACGAAAGGCACTTTTTTGATTACTATTACTTTAAAACTATGTGGTAAAAAATTCTCAAAAAAATGTATGTTTCTTTACTGTCTAAAAGTGGTTTTCAGTAGTTTTTAAATTATTTATAGATATGCGGTAAGTTACACTTTTTAAAATAATGGGGCTATGTAGTGTTTGCACCAT